TACCCACGCTGCGACCCTGGGCATCGTACTGGAGAAGAACCTTCTTGGGGCGACCTACACCAACAGCTGAAACAAAGTAGTCCTATAAGGCGTATTAGTCGTCGTACCAGGGGTTAAACATTTGCGCAAATGGATCATCATTGACAAGGACGTTTGACAAGGAGGTTCCGGCGTCGGCGGTGGGTATTCGTCGATTCCATATTACACGGTCAAAAGATAACGCTCGAAAAGCGGGTGTCCTGGTCAAAATACAGTGAACACAAGGTTCAGTGAGACGAAGCATACTCAGAGCGAGAGCAGTTGTTGCGAGTAACGTGTTGTAACGCTGCGAACCAGTCTTGTGATGTCTGCCCACCCGTGTGAAAGCCATACGGCTATTCGTAACTGGATCTGGATTCGCGTCTCGCTGCTCTTTTGATCGCCTGGAGTTGCTGCAGGGCTACCAGGAATATGTCACTGGTGCGCTGTCGTCTTTGCTTGCACTTGATAAGTGTAGCATGTGACCAGAATCACCCACTTTCGTCGCTGCGGTACCCTGGAGTGTTCGCATGCTGCTAGTCTTCTACCGGTCTTGTGTGCCCAACACAGATCTCGGCGTGACTTTGGGCAAGCTATGGCTCAACATCCATACCGGTTGTGGAGTGGAAAGGCTCGGTTCGTCGGATCGAAATCGTTCATGCTTGCAAAAGCGAAGCTGCAGTAGGTTCAAAGACCTGCATCGGTCTTACATACCTGGAGTTGGGCATTGTCAATGTCCCGTGGCTGCAATATGTTAGTTGTGTTCGTGTTCGTGTGCGAGTGCTGTGTTTGGCTTACCAAGTTGGATACCATGATCTTGGTCTCACCGCCGAGGGAGGCGGCGGGTGCGGTGGGGGCGGCCTTGGGCTGCCTGCCCTGCTGCTTGGTCGACTTGGAAACACCGCCTACAGGTGCGGCAGTGGTGGCAGGTCGTCCAGTGCCGGTAGACTTGCGACCGCTGCGGCCACGGCGAGAGGTCTTGGAGGCCTTGAGGATGTCGTCGAGGCTCTGCTCCATCTTGTTTGAAGACATGTTGATGAGTGGTTGAGGGATGGTGATACTTGGTTGAGCGGGCGTTGATGAATTTGCGCGCTGGTGTCGAGAGGGCGACGTGAGCAGATAAAGTAGCGACGGCTAAAAGTCTCTTTGATGGAGGAGCGACTGAACCGATGCAAGGCTGCGAGGACAAAGGGGCGCGTTTGATGACAAGGCGCGTCGCAGAAGTGAGACTCGCTGAATGGGGAGTCAAAGTGGGCTTGCGCGAAAGTAGAGAGTGTAGCGCTGGTTGTGGTAACTGCTGCTGATGAAGGGCAGATGGGTGGAGTATTATATGAAGAGGAGTGTGATGGTAAGATGAGGAAAAGGGAGAGCGCGAGGCAGCAGGACAAGAGAGGGTCGCGCCAAGCCCTGACACTGCCACGCATGCTTGGTGAGTGCTGATTGGCAAGGGTGCACGGTCGCACTTGCCCGCAGCTTCCATGGGTGTCGCGAGTGACGATAGCTCCTGCCATTCAGGCAACGGGCGACGATGGAGCGATAGCAAGTATGGCAGTCACTCCGGTGAGTATTGGCTCATTCACCCTCCGCTTGACGCCATGGCGAGACTAATGCGCGAACAGTGGCAGTTCAAGTTCTTTGACGTCTCGCAAGTCAAGCTCCCCGACGACGAGAGCTCCTTCCTGTCCGAGGTATGACGATGCCCTCCACACACACCTATACCTAGCCATCCAGTCTTATAAACATCAACAGATCGGGAATATCACGTGCATTACATCTGGATCTGAAAGCATATTTCTAGGCAGCGCAGATGGCATTGTTCGCATCGTGTCGCAAGCCTTCAAGGTTGTGCGCTCGTTCAAGGCCCATGATGCAGGCGCAATTACGCACATGAAGCAGGTCGAGGGCACTTCTCTTCTCGTCACCATAGCCGAAGATCTCTCTGGAGAGCCGGTGCTGAAAGTATGGGCTCTGGACAAGCTGGAGAAGAAGACAGGCATCCCGCGGTGTCAGAGCACTCTCACCGTCCACAATGGTCGCAAGCAGTTCCCCATATCCGCTTTCGCCGCACTCGACGACCTTTCGCAACTTGCCGTCGGATTCGCAAACGGTGCCGTCACTGTTGTCCGAGGCGATCTCATACATGACCGCGGCGCTCGGCAACGGACGGTATTCGAATCGGAGGAACCCATCACTGGCATAGAGTTCAGAGAAGGGAGCATCACAACCTTGTACATCGCGACAACCGGACGGATTATGACACTAGTGATATCTGGAAGGGGTCAAGGACAGCCTGCAAAGTCTCTTGACGAGTATGGCTGTGGTGTGGGTTGCATGGCTGTGGATAAGGCATCGCGCGATGTCGTGGTCGCGCGAAGTGATGCCATATACTACTATGGCCAACACGGTCGCGGGCCGCCGTACACATACGAGGGCGAGAAGAAGATGATCTCCGTATTCAAGGATTACGTTGCGATAGTCGCGCCTCCTAAATCGAATGCGATGCCCCGGTCGAACCCTCTCCGTACCTTTGGCATCGGTGCCGCTGACGATGTTTTCAATACATCGAGCTTCACCCTGCTCAACACAGAGTTGAGGTTTGTCGCACATCAGGAGCAACTGACTTCGCAAGTGAAGGCTGTTATTTCCGAATGGGGTGACCTGTTCGTCTTCACACTTGACGGTAAAATCTTCAGATACCATGAGAAGCCCTTTGCTCAAAAACTGGACATACTGTACCAGCGTAATCTATACGTCTTGGCCATCAACCTGGCTCAGAAGGCCGGACTAGATTCGTCACAACAAAACATCATCCTCCGGAAGTTTGGCGACTACCTATATTCCAAACAAGATTATGATACTGCTATGCAGCAATACCTGAAGGCTATCGACAACACCGAACCATCTCAGGTCATCCGGAAGGTATGTCATGGTTGATCCTCAACAAGATTCATGTTAATGTCTCGTCTAGTTTCTTGATACGCAACGGATACACAACCTGATAGAGTATCTTGAGGAGCTCCACGATCATCACAAAGCAACATCAGACCACACAACTCTCCTATTGAACTGTTACGCCAAGCTAAAGGATGTAGAGAAGCTGGAAGAGTTCATCAAGTCACCAGACGATCTGAAGTTTGACCTTGATACCGCTATCTTGATGTGTCGCCAGGGGGGCTACTACGACCAAGCGGCATTCCTTGCTCGAAAACACGGTGAACACGAGCTGGTCGTGGATGTACTCATTGAAGATTCAAAACGGTACGCGGAAGCCCTAGCCTACGTATGGCGATTGGAGCCGGAGGTAGCCTACTTTAACCTCATGAAATACGCGACGATACTGTTGCAGCACATCCCCAAGGACACAACGCAGCTTTTCATCGACTATTACACCGGAAACTTCCGACCCAAGAAGGATGCTATAGTCATACCGAACGCGCCTGCATCAGGAGGAGGCGGTGGTATGAGTATGGGCCTAGGAGTTGCATCGAGCGCTGTGCAAAACCTCGCTGCACTACTTCCTCTGCCATACATGAACACCAACGCGTTGGCATCGCCTCCCAGTGGTGAACAGAAGAGCACCATGAGCCAAGCTCAGATCATTGAAACGACCACCGATGAGCCCGCGCCAGAATATAAGGTACCGAAACCGCGAACTGCATTCTCCGCATTTGTCGATCATCCGCAGGAGTTTATAGTCTTCCTCGAGGCGTGTATCGCATCCAATGACCTACGCGAAGACGACAAAGTCGATCTTTACACAACGTTGTTTGAGATGTACCTCCACACTGCATCGTCGAAGAAGGATGGTGAGCGACAAGAGTGGGAGAACAAAGCCAAGAAGCTCGTCGAAGGCAAGGACATACCAATAGATACATCCAACGTCCTGCTATTATCTCATCTTTCCAATTTTCGCGATGGTGCCATCCTCGTCCGCGAACAACAAGGACTACACTTTGACATATTCCGGTCCTACACTGCCGCAAACGACACCCAAGGTGCTATCCGCGCTCTCCGCAAATACGGCCCAGAGGAACCAGCACTTTACCCTGCAGCTCTCGCCTACTTCACTTCCACCCCTGAGATCCTTGCGGAAGCTGGCGACGAACTCGATGCAGTCCTCAAGAAGATCGACGAAGACGGTCTCATGGCTCCCCTCCAGGTAATCCAGACCCTCTCCACCAACGGCGTCGCAACAATGGGCATGATAAAAGCCTACCTCAGCACCACCATCGAGCGCGAACGCGCAGAAATCGCCGCCAACCGCCGTAATATCGAAACCTTCCGCTCCGACACCACTGCCAAAAAGCACGAGCTCGAGAACCTGAACACCAAGCCTGCCGTGTTCCAAAACTCGCGCTGTCAGGTCTGCATGAAGAGTCTGGAGTTACCTGTTGTGCACTTTTTGTGTAAGCATAGCTATCATCAGAGTTGTCTGAGTACCGATGAGGATGTGCATGATGCGGAGGTCGAGTGTCCAATCTGCAGCTCGAACAACGCGACGGTCAAGGCTATTCGTAGGGCGCAGATTGAGAGCGCGGAGAGGCACGATCTTTTCCAGGACGCGCTCAAGAGAGGCAAGGACGGTTTTGCGGTTATCAGTGAGTGGTTTGGTAGAGGTGTTATGGGTGTGGGTGGTTCGGACTAGGCGACTTGCAACTATAGCGAACGACGATTATACATGAGACGGATGGAAGATATGATAATTTGCTTGATGAAGTCGTAAAGATCATGCTTTTGTTTCCCCCTGAGATCCTTCCATCCACTGGCGCCTTGGGCATTCCTGAAAACACCTCACGAGTTATCAATCCCCCTGTAACTCCCCAGCGGTATCCGTATGGATTATAAAAGCAGCAGCAAGATAACGTTCGATTCTGGGAAGCACAGGAGTTACAAGCTGTTAAACAATCTTTGTAAGTAACAGCTTATCAGCTAGTGTCTGAAGGTAACAAATATTCTGCTAGTATAGTACATTAGTCTTTACACTACTCTAATCCTAAGAATGACCAGCTCTCTGGTTGTAAATTGAATGGCCAGTCCTCGAGTAGCTCAGATGGGAGCTGGAATTCGCCCATCCAACCGTGTAGGAACTCGCCTTCAGCCACCCTACCTCCTTCTTCCACTTCCGTTGATTGCGCGCCACCTTCTTGGCTACCAGCTCGACCTGTATCTATGCCCACATTTCTGTCTAAACGCGGTTGCTGCTGCTGAACTAAGGAGTCCACAGACGAACCATGATTTGACTGCAGCGGCGTGTAAGATCTCCCCACTGACCAGCACTGAGCACGCATATACTCGTCTATACGCTCTACCTGTGCGCGCAAGCCCTTACTAATATCGGTCGCACGAGACAATCCGCTTTCGAGGCTCTCGAGCAAATCTGCAATAGATAGCAACATGCTCCTGACCCTGTGATATGCAGCCTCAGAGAGCGGGGCTTCCATGACAGAGCCGAGGATTGTGCCTATGCCTGCGAGGTGATAGATGAGAGGAGTACTAATTCCGCGAAGGTAAGCGGTGGGAATAGTCTGGAAAACAGCAAGGAGCTCCGCCGCAACGTTGCATTTGAGCTGCACGTCCGGGGGTTGCCGATGGTCATCGTCAATGCTGAGAAAGAGCATACGTAACAACAACAATGTCGCCTGAATATTCGCAGCCTGGAAGCCAAAGATGTCGCGAAGAGGATTTCCTGTAGGTGGTGCAAATATCTTGAAATTGGACGGCAGGTCGTGGTAACGCTCAGTTATAGACGCTAGCACGGCGGCGGAGGAATGGGAAGACAGCAACGTAGGCAAACCGAATATGGCGGCGACGTCAATACGGTTGTCGATGAGGGCGGCGGGTTTTCGTAGCTGGCTGTAGGCATGCTCCAGCGTGAGATAAAGGTCAGTCGTAAAATTCCAACCTCGCAGCCACGAGATCGTGGGTTTTGGAGATGGCAACGTGGCGAGGGGTGTAATGAGTTCGTCTTCGACTTCTGTCGGATAGTGAACTCGAGCGTTAGCCCCGTATGCGTGGACGCTACCGTTCCACACGATGGAGATGAAAACGTCAAGGGTGTAGGTTGACCAATACTACGATAGAGGTCAGCGGATATGACTGCTTGGGTTAGAGATGAGATATACCAAGCGTCGCCTTTCCTCAACTTCAATGTTCGTTATGTTCTTCGGCCAATACGCCTCGTCATGGAACTTATGAATTCCAACCAGAGTGAAATAATGTCCTAAGTATAGCTGCATGGCTTCAATATCCCCATATTGGATACTGGTAATGGACAACAGCGCGCAGGCCCGCATGTAATCAAGCTCTCGAGCCGCTGTAAGGTCTTTAGGCAAATGATCTTTCACTGCTTTGAAGAATGTCTCAGACGGAACAGTTTCCATATATGAGGCGTTCTTGTTCGACTCGAATAACGCACCATCTCTCCCTCGAGCTGACGCCAAAGCACATACTGCCATAAGTGAGGTGAAAAAGCCATGATTCTTCAAGTAGTCTTGGTCGCGTACCTTCTTTAGCAACGTAGGTTGATGGAAGAGCGGAAATCTCGAAGTTCGACTTAGCACAATTTGCACAACAAAAGGTCAAATGAAGAAGTTGAAACGGACTGGGAGGTGATCTCCTGCCGTTCCGGTAGCAAGAAAGTGTGATACTCTTACTGAGAAACGGACGGCGGGTGCTACTCACATTGGATAAACGACCCGGAAGTACACATCAACCAGATACTCAATCGTTCCTGCGCTCGCAGCTGCGAACGCTCTCCACGCCGTCTCTGGCCACTCCTCGGATAGGTCTTCGCCTCTACCAACCAGATTCTGTCCCTTAAACGTCGCGAACCCACTATTTGTCTTCCTTGATGATGCCATCGCGTTGCTCCTGGACGCACCTGCTATAGTCGCTGCACCGGCTGGCTGCACGACAGGTTGTGGCAATGCTAAACTCAGTTGCTGAGGCTCGTCATGATTCTGGTCATGGTGTTGCTGTTGATCCCGAGATCCAATGTCAGCAGCTAGAGATGACCCAGGTTCACTGGAGAGGAGGTGGCCAGATGCGCGTCCGCGCCTCAGCGGGCGGTTGTAGGTGCAGGCCACGTCGAAGTCATAGCAGTTCTGGCAGCTTTGGGAGCCGGTTGCACTGGGGCGACATCTGATGCTGCGCTTGTGGCAGAAATCACCTTGAAAGTTTGCTCGTTAGCCAAGGTACGAGAGCATGTAGAGGAATGTGTGAGGAGCGCATGCATCGCGACACGGTGCTATGTGGGTTCCAGGTGAGGAAGGGATCAAAATCGAGGCGCAGACGAAAGAGTTGATGTAAAACCTTGCTTGAACGATTGGAGAGCATGGCGACCCCGGTGTCTGCGAGATACTTGTGTCGCTGATTCGGGAGCAGAGAGTAAGACAGGTACAACTTGGGATGGTTATTCCCTCATCCACCGTCACACGCGTCGATGTTGGAGAACAGCCACATTATACGCAGACAACAAAATTAAAAGGAGCATGTGTACATGCGCGGTGCAAGAGTTCAACACGTACAGGCTCTACTTGCTCGTAGGAGTTTTTTCGGACGAGGCTCGTCCACCGACATGGATATCAAACCTTTCTTGAAGGAGCTTATCGGACTTCAGCTTATACACTGATGACGGACGACTGGTCGAGGAAATGAGTAAGACAGTGGTTGATTAGGTAATGGAAGAACGTGGTTGTTGAAGTTCTGGATGGGAATAAGGGCTAGCGGGCTAGCATGCCGAGGTCTACCTGTTCACTCAGTGATACCTGCTAGCGTCAAGAGACCGTGGTACGCCAAGCACGATTCGTCCATTGTTAATCACTTACCACCCATCAAAAGTGCCAAGGCATGAAAAGTGGCCCCATTACCATGCAGTTTGACACTTTCTATACTGGCGGTTGAGCCTTTGATGCTTAGCTAGCTACGTGTACGGAGTCCGTGCAGGTCGAAAACTTTCCTTGGTGATGGTTAGTTGACGTGATGATTGAATCATCGTCCATCCAGAGAGACAAAGCCCTCTCTAATCACATGCGAGCACAGATTTTAGCTCTCCACGGAACTTGACCGCTCATCAAGGAGTTGTCTCGGTATAAACTTTGTCCATTTCTGATTGGTGCCTACATTCAGACTGTACGCAATAGGATGTAAGGGAGCAAAAAGCAAAGGAGTGAGTAGTGAGAAACGTATAAGAAGAAATATTGTATAGAGAAACGCTCCAAAAGTAGCATCTACGATACGTTCGATTGGGTTCACTAAGGACAAACAGACGCAACTCCTTCTCAAAAACAACCCCTATCAATACCAAAGTACATCGCCCAATTGATCTAAAACATACATCTCTGCGCGCCAAAGTTTGCTTGTGTCATCGCGAACGCAATGCATGCAGCTCACTTATCTACAATACATTTCTCAAGAGGCCGCTCAAACAGATTCAAGCTCGAGAGCCTTGTCTTTTTCAAAATAATCCGAGTGCTCGACATCAGGAACACCCTTCTTTTCCAGTAACTCGCCCTGGTTGCGGTAGGCCTGTTCCATGTGCCAGTTGAAAGGGCTGTTCGTCGAGAAGAGGGCCCCAATAGATTCGAGGGAGCGACCCGCGGTTTCCGGGTAAAAGAGGTATACGACGGGGATCCAGAGTAAGTTAAGACCAGCAAAAAGGAAGTACGTGCGGTTTTCTAGCTTTGCGAACATGACCGGGTTGACTAGGACGGTCATACCAACGCCGATAGCCCAGCCTGTGATACCGAACCCATTGCCTTGTGCGCGCATATCGGAGCTCCAGATCTCGGTGGGGATCAAGAAAGCGACAGTGCCCCAGGTTGACGCGTAGATTAAGTTGAAAAGGAAAAGCATGGCGACGGCTGCAGGCGCAAATGACCCCGCGTTTTGAGGCTGGGACCGAGACGCTTCGTATAGGGAGGCAGCGATCAGGTTGACAGCGAAAAGCCCAAACGAGCCCAGCATCAGACACTTGCGACGTCCGAGGCGGTCCACGATATTAGCAGAGATGATTGTTCCAATTATGCCAACGGTGTTGAGACCACCAGCCAAGCCGTTCTGGGTAAGTGTGGAGTAGCCCGCAGCCCGTAGCAGTGTGGGAGAGTATGCGGTGACAGCAGTGATACCGCTCCAAGAAGCCATAATCTGCAGTAACAAGCAGAGCCAGGCGCGGCGGCCCAAGTGAGCGCCAGGCTTGCCACTCCGACCGATGAGAATTTTAGCAAACTCCACAGGGGAGCTGGGCTTACTCTCTTTGGCCATAGCGACAATCTCGAGGAACTCCTGCTCGACATCAGGTGTATAGCCGCCGCGGACATGGGTAAGAACCTCACGCGCATCGTCGTAGCGCCCGACGGATGCAAGATAACGGGGAGAGTCTGGAAGTGCCTTTATTCCGAGAAGGAGGAGTAGGGCTGGAATACACTGGAATGCCAGCAGGAATCGCCAGCGTATATCAGAGTAGCCATTGTTTATGAAAGCAAGGCCGAATGAGAGCCAGTAGGCAACCGAGATGCCCAAGTAGTTGGCGATGAAAACATATCCAAGAAAACCACCGCGGTGGGAGGCCGAAGAGGTTTCAGAAACGAGCACAGGGGTGATACCAGTGAGTGCACCAGTTCCGAGGCCAGTGACTATGCGGGCAACGAGGATGAAATCGGAGGATTGCGTAGCAGCTTGAAGAGCACCACCGACTAGAGCAAAGACAGCACCAATCCAAAGACTAAGAGTGTTAACAACCAGTTAATGCAAGAAACTGTTCAAGTTCGACTTACCCATTGATGCGACCAATGCGATCGGCTAACCATCCGCCTATAAAACTGCCCACTATACAGCCAAGGTAGTAGATAGAGACGATACCACCTTCGTGTAAGGTATCGGTGATCTTGCCATCTGAGTTACCAATGCCCACTTCCTCGACGTAGCGTGGCGAGCTGTTGACACCGCCCATCACACCTTGGTCGTATCCTTCAAAGAAAATAGAGATCAGGGAAAAAGCCTGAATAGCGATATTGAGCTGTGAAGCTGAGAGCTTCCTCCAATAAGTTGTGTAGCCCATGGTGAGGGTTGGCGACTGCTAACGCATCCGAGTGACGACTATTGGGCTCTGGTGCTCGCTCCAGATATTGATCAATCGATAGGAAGGGTGGAAAGAAGACGCTGTGATATAGTCGTCTATCAGGCTGGGTTTGGAAAGCTATATATACCTCAAGTAGAGCCAAGGTCTTACAATGGATATACTGGGGATGCCCAGTAAAGACGAGACCCCAGACCGAAAATCTTGTAGACTCTCGAATGCAAGCAAGCTTAACCCGCACATACAACTAGTTCGCACATATTCCGGGGATAACTCTCCAGTATGCATCTCCACAAAACGCCTCCATGGGCGATCTACGGAGAAATCCGGTAAAGGTCAATGCGCAACTTAGCTGGGGTGTCGGTTGCTGTGCGGAGAGAAGGCAATGCTGAACGGGAGACAGAGAGACACAGCCAGATGGTGCCGATGTGACAAATCCAGATTGAGTCGGCGAAGTCTGAAGCGGTTTGCCGTTTTGCCGCGTTGCAGCTTAAGAGACCGCTTAGCCGCTTAGCAACCCGTGTAGGCGCGTAACCGATAGGTTGATTCGGCGACTAGAACGTCCTCCATTACCATCCTCAATATTCCCTCTCTACCCTGTCGGAAAGCCACTTGTTAGGGAATTAGCTAAGCCTGCTGTCCGGTTGTTGCCGTCCAAATGGCCAAGATCTCAGCCTCAGGGTAACGCAAAGGGTGCCATTTGATTCGATGTTTCGGATGTTCGCAGTCGCTCATTCCATAGTGGCGAACGATCCGCGTACTTGGATATGTATTGTTTGTTCCACCTTAATAATAGCGTGGATGCCAGTCATTTGTAAGAGTGTTTAAATACAGAACCCAGATGATTTTCTCTCGTCAACCTTCCTTTTGATTTAGGCCTTCTTGCTTCACTTACCACAAATCTTATTTTCAAGCTTCTCGCAGTCAATATCAGCATTTTCTAATCACAGCCTGCACCACAATGGCTCTTCAAGAAAGCAAACCCCTTGACCTCACGGTCCTGGGCTTGAACTCTGGTACTTCAATGGTAAGTCTCTATGAGCATCAAGGAACTCCACCCTTAGCGAATACTGCTCATCAAATTCTTCTACTTAATTCAACCACAACGCATGGGTTTGACATACCTTGCCCTACATCTTGTTTTAGAACCAACATCGTAATATCTCGTCTTCCGATATTTCCCCATGATCAAAACAAGAGACGCTCGATCTGAATAGTTATTAACTTTATTAGGATGGCATCGACTGCGCTCTATGTCGCTTTCGTCAAGAGACACCCGAGTCTCCCATGAATTTCGAGCTTCTCAAATATGATGAAGTGCCGCTTCCACAGCCTATCAAAAAGCGCGTTATGGACATCATCCTCCACGACCGAACGTCCGCATCCGGACTATCTGAGGTGAACGTCATTCTCGGGGAAACCTTTGCCGATGCCGTAGAAGAATTCTGCAAGAAGCACAATGTGGACAAATCATCCATCGATGCTATCGGATCCCATGGTCAGACCATCTGGCTGTTATCTATGCCCAAGCCTGACCAGGTCAAGTCCGCGCTCACCATGGCTGAGGGCTGCTTCATCGCTTCTCGCACCGGAATCACCACCGTGACCGATTTTCGTGTCTCTGACCAGGCGGCTGGTCGTCAGGGCGCCCCCCTGATTGCTTTCTTCGACTCGCTTCTACTCCATCACCCTACGAAGCTCCGCGCCTGCCAGAATATCGGTGGTATCGCTAATGTTTGCTTCATTCCTCCGGACAATAAGGGTGGCGTGTCAGAAACATATGACTTCGACACAGGCCCAGGCAATGTCTTTATTGACGCCGTCGTGCGCCATTACACTGGCGGTGAGCGTGAATACGACAAGGATGGTGAGATGGGTAGCCGGGGTACTGTAAACCAGGCCCTTGTCGACGAATTTCTGCGGCACGAGTACTTCAGCCTAGACCCACCCAAGACGACGGGCCGTGAGGTCTTCCGTGACACGCTCGCCTTCGAGTTGATCGATAAGTCCGAGAAACTGGACATGACTCCCGACGATGTTGTCGCCACCGTCACCCGCATCACAGCACAATCCATTGTAGACCATTACCGGCGCTACGCTCCAGCTGACATGGACATCGAGGAATTGTTCATGTGCGGCGGCGGTGCCTACAATCCCAACATCACCAGCTTCATCCAACAAGCGTATCCTAATACCAAGATCATGATGCTGGATGCGGCCGGTGTACCTGCAGGCGCAAAGGAGAGCATCACCTTTGCTTGGCAAGCTATGGAAGCTGTTATAGGCCGCTCAATTCCGGTCCCTACCCGTGTTGAGACCCGTCGCGAATACGTCCTCGGCAAGTTGTCGCCAGGTGCCAACTACCGTAATGTGATGCAGAAGGGCATGGCATTTGGCGCCGGTCATGACCGGTTATCACCCATTAGGGAGATGGTCAACTACGTAGACGGCAAGGTATTCGATAACAAATGGTGAACGTTATAATTCCAGATTAGATTAGGGTTCAAAAACTAGACTAAATGAATACCAGAATTCTACTTAACCCCGATCGCAATGCTGTGACCATCTAAATGCTGTCTACTCGTACACCGGGATTCATCCCGCACTCTGTACATACGCGTTGATACTCGGCCGCGAAATTTGGTCCATGATAATTGAGCCGAACTGTTATTAGTGAATGGTTCAGTAGAGGTGTTATGGGTGTTGGTGGCTCGGACTAGGTACCTAGGGGACATCTGACTATACTGAACTTTGGCGAAAGGATCATACATGAAATGAACAGAAGGTATAGTAACTTGCTGGAATGTGCATTCCGCAGTATTCGTGTTGAATAATAACAAGATACAAAGATGGTGAGCTCGACTAACCATGCCACTGGGTTTGTACACCTTCATAGGTGTCGTGAATTCATCTTTGTCAACATGTCCTTTTGTGTCCGGCCCTCAACATATTGGAAAGAGCATTTTTCAGCTCACGTGCCATTTTGTGTCGACGAAAATAGCGTTTGACTGAACCGGTCTGACGCTTTCCACACTGCTTCTGCCATCCACTGGCGTCCTAGGCATTCCCGAAGACACCTCGCACGAGTTACCCACCCCTGTGTGATTCTCTAGTGGTATTTCATCGTCATCCACTACCTTGTTCCGTACCGAATACCTTACTTTGTTCACAACCTGGTGTCCTGAGTTCGCCGTCGTACCTCCCGTACCGTTATTCAGGATATGCTTAAATAGGGGTTTGAGCGACGGTAACGACGCAACAACGATCCCAACATCGTATTCGATAAAGCGCCACATGGTAAAAGTGTCGTGCACGTATGGGTCGGGATCGGTGAGGGCCGTCTTCTGTTTCTCAGACTTGATGATTGCGGCGACACCCGCAAATAACCCGAGAGCTAATATGCAGACCAGAGTTATCTTTGTGCGGCCGTTGAGTTGGAGTTGCCATACGAGGGGAATTGGTAGGAGGGCAAGGAGGAAGTCTGTGCTAATGGTAACGGCTGTGTAACGTAAGTGTTTGCCGTCGAAAGGAGGGAGTTTACTCACCCGTGTTCATCATTCCTATGGCGGTAAAGGTCGGTCGGTCGAAGCACACAGCAGTGCCTGTGCCGATGGGTGGCGGGCGAAGTCTTAGGTCCCACGTAGCTGCCACGGGAATGCACTGCCAGATCTGAGTAAGATCAGTTAAGGTTGCCATCGAACGTCTCCATTTTCCAACTCACTGACACATTGTTAGTTCGACAGCAACCTGTTACGTTTTCGCGGTCACATACCCAATGTTCCAATACAAGCCGTAGTGAACAAGGTCATGAACACGACAAAACATCGTAAAAACCATATGTACGCTTTTCTCGTGACCAGTCGCAGCAGGAAGAAAGCAATTGATATCTTGACCATTCCAACCCCAATACCTACAAGAATTGACTGCACTTGTCGAAGTTTTAGGAACTGCCGTTCATTTCCAGGATTCATCTTCATCACTGAGAGGTGTTTTCCTAAGCCCAGTTTAGTCTGTTCGGCATACACGATGAAAGTCGCCATGGCGAATCCAAACGCAAGTAGCATTGTCCAGTCGTCCTTGCCGAAACATCTCAGCATAACAACTCGGACGTAGCATCTTAGCACGACAATGAAGGCTGTGACTCCAAACAGGGCGCCGGTCTGTGTCAAGAGTAGGGATGCGTTGGTGTAGGCAATATAATCAGGATTCGAGAAGTCCGGATTTGCATCAGCCGGGTTGGTACCGGACATGGTGATTGCGAAATGAACACGTGAAAAATAGTAGTGAAGAGATCAGGAGATAGTTATGCATTCTTTGAGGCATTCCGAGGAGTTCTGTACTTATCACATACTGCCGTACGCCGTCCCATTACCGCGGCACAAACCGAAAGGCTCTCGAGGTCATCAATTTCTCATGCTGAAACCTGATAGTGGAATGAACCCCTTACTGTTCTCCCGTCTATAGGCTAGTGTTTGGTCGACTTGGCTTCGAGGATCAGCTCAGTTGGCGGAACTCGAAGCGACATGACCGTTGCAAAGACGAGTGCGGGGAGGATTGCCTCTCATACCCGCTTAACCACCGTTTGAATGAAGTGACCAATGTGCTAATGCATAGGCTGATGAGTGTCTTGACTCAAGCATTGTCGATATAACAGATTCTTCTTAGATCATAAGACTGTGAACCAGGCACTCGGTAAGCATGGTTAGCATCCTTTGGTTCAGATAATGGACACGGTTCGGAGTGCATTTTTCCACTATGCCCGACTTCCAGGATTCAAACTAGATGTTTTGTCGCGTGCAGCAGGATTGTGGCGTGGTTGCTGAGCGAGGCTGCGGGGTGGTCGATGTAACATAGCAAACGTACTAAATTCGCAGAATGATGTATGTCGAAAAAATAGTTGGAGGTCTTGGTGAGCTTGGTACATGCCACAGTGTCAAATACCGAATTGAGAAGGCATTTGAGAGGTATCATACTCATTCGTGCTTTCCTTATCGTATCTAGGGAAACATAGATGAGGCGGCATTTCGCCACAATTTTCTGGTCAAGTGGGGATGGAAGCGAAGTGCTTGAAGGATGCGCGGTGAGAAGACGTAAGGAGGTCGAGAGACCGAGATGAAGATGCAGCGGCTTGATGCCCCGAGCCGCCTCCGACATGCTTGGCATTGCGGCGCGGGTGCGGGTCGAGGTTATCGCCCCCGCAGACTACCTGTTCTGACCATCACTAATTTTCGAATTCGCATCATCATTCGTAACATGCGTGAACTAAGGTCTCGTCTCAGATCATCTCCTGAACATGTGAGATAGCAGGCTTCTTGACTGCGTCTGGAAAAACATGAACAGCCTGTGGGATTGAGGCGTTGTACCCATGGCCATGGCACTCGCATGTACATCAAGCTAACCGCAGCGGAGCAGCGACACCCACTCATATTTAGATCCAATCCTACGCAAGGGTTCACGAAGGGTTGCCTACGTTACCCAACAGGTTCGCCTAACGCCGGGGATATCGATCTGCATCTCGTTGGGTTTATGTACCGACGTCGCATCCAGCCATCTGTTTAATTCCGCGCCACAGATCCTACGAGGGTTCATCTAAGCATCTAGATTGCCGTGCAGTATGGCAAAGTAGATCCTTCATGCCAGGCCCTGAGTCGGCATCGCATGTTCTTCGCTTCGCACACACGCTGTCCTACAGGGGAGGTAGAAGCCAAGAGCAATAATGTGCAGCAAGCGGCAGGTATATATGGAGAGCGGCATTGTCAATGAGTTTTCGGACGCACCAAAGCAGTCCCATTCCTAGGTCTTTCATTAATTGATCCTCCTTACACCCAAAGAAGCGACGCTGCGCTATCTACACCAGTATTTTTGCTGCTATGCGCTTCTTCGATCTTGGGACTTTGGCGATTGTGGGCGGTGCCGGTGCTTTCAAAGTCACGGAGCACGATAAACTGGCTGCTCTTGGCCTAGCAAACGTCGGAATTGATGTCGCAAAGAATGGCTACCCGAATCCTGGCCAGTGCACCCTGAAGAACGTGAAAGTTCGATGCGAGTGGTATGTATTAAAATCCCCATTATAAAGCACATCCAATTGACTGATATCTTTCCAGGTCGACGCTCACGAAGCCTGAGAGGCGTAACTACATCGATGCCATCAAGTGTCTTCACTCCAAGCCTGGTCTCACGCCAGCTAGGGTCGCACCTGGTGCAAGGAGCCGCTTCGACGACTTTGTCGTGACTCACGTCCAACAGACGTACTCTGTCCACGGAACTGTATGTCTAAATATGCAATGTCTCTTTGAATCAAACTACTCAGATTGCTCGATTGATCTGTAGCAGTCGAAGGAGTGACATGGTATGCTGACACTATCAGGCCAACTTCCTAGCTTGGCACCGATACTACATCTGGGCCTATGAGCAGCTACTGCGTGACGAGTGTGGCTACAAAGGGTACTTGCCATACTACAACTGGGCATGGTGGCATGAAGACCCCGCTTCATCTCCCCTCTTCGACGGCAGTGATACCAGTATCGGTGATGCTGGAGCCTACGTTCCTGGAAGGAACTACACTTGTCTACCTTCAGAAGCGGCGGGATGCCCAATCAAGCTTGAGCCTGGAAGTGGCGGTGGCTGTATCTCGGGTCCTTTGGCAAACTGGACTTCAAGTATTGGGCCTATTCAAACCAAAGCCAAAGGAATCAAGCCTAACCCACAAGCTGACGGTTTGGGTTACAACCCGAGATGCTTAAGTCGGGACGTCAACAAGCACGCTGCTTACAGGTCGAGGGATGAGGTTATCACCGAACTCATCAAGAACAGCAAGGACATCCTTAGCTTCCAGAACCGCATGCAAGGCGATTTCCCGACCGGTTACCTTGGCGTCCACAGCGCTGGTCACTACACCGTGGGAGGAGATCAAGGCTCCGACTTTTTCAACTCGCCATCCGACCCCGTAAGTCTTTTTGTATCACATTTCATAGTTACCCAGAATGATTGTTAACTCCAACAGGCTTTCTACTTCCACCACGCTCAGATCGACCGCACATGGTGGATCTGGCAGAACCAAGATCTCAAGAACAGGAGGAATGCGATCGATGGCACCATCACTTTCCTGAACTCGCCGCCGAGTCGTAACGGCACACTCAATGACACGCTGACCTTGGGTCCGATGTTGGATACGTTTAAAAACATCACGAACAAGGATGCGATGAGCACGCTTGGAGGGCCATTCTGCTACATCTATTTGTGAATATATTTTCAGGTCATCCATAGAGAATTAGATGTTTTAACACAGGTATCACTTTTGAAATGACTTGCGAGCATATGCTCTTGGTGTTGATTAGGCCACTCGCGCGCTTGAGCGGCACAGTCAAGGTACCAGTAAGCCCGTTAACTCCGCATCGCGTTGCCGCCTCCGTGGCTTTAACATTAAGCCAAAGTCCGCAATATCCATTATGGTATGATCTAAAGCTGAGCAGCGTGCTGTGTAACTAACCAGCAGTTACACTATCACCTCGCTCAATCCTCAGCTTGAGATTCAGTATCCTGAAGCTATACGCGCCAATTACTTGTCACTTCGCCCGAACTATCGTCACGAAGCCTGAGGATCAAGGAGCACGAGCATCGGGTCCTGCAATCGAACACAGGTGACTTGCAATACCAATTCCTGTCCAATATGGCGATAGCATACGCCAGAGATCAGCCGCAAGGTTTCATCAATCGCATTGAGAAGGTGGCTATTGTAGGGGTAAGTCCTCCTGCATAACTGCCGTGTTTCTCTTATTGACGTGTCAGGCTGGGGGACAATTTGGAAAGCACTTGACGGAAGCGTTGTTGAAGACGCGTAAACACACAGTGACAGCCATCACGCGCACCAACAGTACCAACAGCTTACCGGAAGGTGTGCGTATTGAGCGTGTGGATTACGGCGGAGATGACTTGGATGCCCTTGTTGATGCTCTCCGCGGCCAGCAAGTACTGATCATCACTATGGCAATTATGGCACCACGAGACGCCGTAAGCAAGCTTGTGCGTGCCGCGGCCAAGGCTGGCGTTGCGTATGTCATGCCCAACTGGTTTGGTCACGATGCAGCCAACAAAAAACTGTGCGATGATTCTATGCTCTCATCTTCTGGTGAGGCCATCCATGCTGAGATTCAAACTCTCGGCGTGAGCGGAAACATCCGACTCGTATGCAACTTCTGGTACGAATTCAGTCTCGGTGGCGGTTTAGATCGCTTTGGCTTTGACTTCGCGAAGCGTTCTTTCATCGTGTTCGACAAGGGCGATGTTCCTTTCAACGTCAGCACCTGGGCTCAGTGTGCTCGAGCAGTTGCGAATCTATTCAGCCTCAAACAACTTCCTGAAGACGAATCGGACAAGTCGCCTACTCTATCACAGTTTAGTAGTCGCCCCGTCTACATCTCGAGTTTTCGACTGAGCCAGATGGAGATGTTTGAGTCTGTCAAGCGAGTGACCAGAACGTCGGACGAAGACTGGAATATTACGCATGAATCTTCCGAGGAACGTTGGAAAGATGGTTTTGCTGCAGTCATGAAGGGGAATTTCGGGCAATTCACCAAGATGCTGTACAGTCGAATGTATTTTCGCAACGGAGGGGGCGATTATGAACCTTTAGACAACAAGTCGTTGTCTCTTCCTGTTGAAGACTTGGACCAGTATACCGCTATCGGCGTGCACATGGGAGAGAATGGCGAGATAGCCCTATCTCATTGAGATAGCTTCTTATTGCTCGCTCAGCACTTAACCCTCAGCGTTTTGGTTACTTGCCATTGTCTATAACTTCTGAAATTTACATGGTTTCACTTGGCCATGACCCTTCGACCTAACCTACTCGCATCAAAACCGCTTTTGAGCACAAAATTGAAACCGCCCTGCAAGTCCTCCGGCTTATTGCACTGAGGCCTTGTAGGGTGTACCATTTTCTGGGATATTTCGACCAAAGATTCGAAAGGAAGAACAATCAGATAGGAAAGTGGCTCTATGAGCCCGAAATTCGAACCATCTGCCGATTCCACCTCAGGCCCAAAATACAATATATCCACAGGGTATACATGGACTGATGGATGCCCCGAACTCGGCTCCCAATCTCGAGTGACGAGTTTCACTGTAGATATTGTTCCGTTCCGGCTCGTTTTCATATTCTTCGGAATGACGAGGTGACCTTCATTCAAAATAAACCCACATATTTCGATTAGACAAAACACGAGCTCTTGGTCAACGTCAAATGGTACATCATGCCAACATTCGCATTGCACGAGCCTCTCGAAGATCTTAGACGCTTCTCTGACATACGGCTCGGTAGCTTTCAGAGCAAACTGAACACACAAAGCCTGCGGTGCTGAGTTGGTGAAAGGCCCTACGCAGTCAAGCACATCCGAAAGCCGTGCGAGGGAGCATAGGCACATGGAAGGGTTGTAACAATGCAGAAGTAACAAGATAAACGAATGCTCTGATATTCCATAGCTTACTCGGAGATGAGCAGCGTCTTCTGCGATTGCAAGAAGTGAGTACACTCGATCGCGTGTGTGTTGACACTTCCGGGATCCAAGGTAGAAGAGCAGGTCAAGAAGCCTCTTTTTAAGTGGTTCAAAACACCTAGCTTCCCTTCGGTAACACAGGCCATGCCCAGCCATTGCACGGAGATAGATCTCGAAACATCGATCCGCTTTCCTGAAGAATTCATCAAACGCCCTGCTCTCAGGCCTAGAGACGGTCAACTGCAGTGTTGGTAACAGAACTACCAAAGCTTTGAATTCTGGTCGGCGAATTTGTGTATCGTTCACCAGAATCGAAAGTTCTTGTGGTTGAAGAATTTCCTGTGTAATCCAGGCCCGTGTCCAGTACTCATTTGACTCAAAACTCAGATAGCTACGTTTCAGACTTTTGGTTCCTTCACGGAACCATATTCGACGGGCATCTTTCTCGGAATGAAGTTGTTCTGCTGCAAGGCGTTTCAAGAAGATAAAGAACTCGACAGCTCCTTGATCGCGTCCCAACCAAGCGATAACATTAGTTGCCCGGGCGTAAATGTCACCCATCTGGCTAACTTGATGATTTCTCTCGGTGACGTTGTCTTGATCGATACAGAATGCGTCAATCCATACGGCTTTCAAATCGCCGGCATGATTGATGCGAGCCACACCAAGGAAGTCCCAAAGATTTTTACGGCAGGAGAATCTTTTTCCATTTATACAAATTATTTGTTGGTTCAGCTCAGTGCCCCAGACATACGACAAGCAGGTGTATTCGGCGTCGGTAGTGGTGTGCCATATCTTGCATTGTATGAGACCCTTGCTGGAGAGATCAGGCAGTATCCTCAACAGGCGTATTGAGTTGCGCGTTGTATCCAACTGGGTATGTCCAAAGTTGTCATTACCAGGATCCTGTTGCCTGGCACTTGCTTGTGGACCATGCGACGCCATGAGAGTGAATGTTGAGATTGTGGACGCGGAACGGAGGTAGTTTGGGTGGGTAGGCAGCAACTTCTGGTCAGGCTGAAGTTTTAGTAAAGGTTAAGCCCACCTTTCGTTGAGAGTCGACAAGTCTCATTACGTGTATGACGTCCTAAGCCAGTGCTAACCATATACGGAAGACAGGGCTGTGCACCATACAGCTGGTATGATGGGGCAAGGTCTCAATCATCACATAGGTGATATGCTATTGGCGTGCGCACAGGAGAGGAGACGACTTAGCCAGATATCATAAAAGTGGAACGTATATGGAGTTCTATAGAACAAGGAATTAGTATAGTGACTAGACTAGAAAGCTTCCAATGGCAATCGATATACTACCTGATGATCTAATTTACTGATCAATGGATGTATGGGCTCGGAAGCTGTGACCGGCATACACCTGTTTTCACCTATCTATGTAGGTAAGGAATCTGAGAATTCGAAATGAGATAGTGTGATCAACCAAGCCTGCTCAAGCTATTGCCGTTGCAAACAGTATGGTTTGTTGTGCCGAGCTGTTCGAGGCTGCAAGTGCGGGGCGGCTGACTTTAGGGCTCATCGGATGATGCAAGCGCGACGGGGCATCGGGCCCGAGTGTTCCTACCTCTTTAGCTACCCATGTATTCTCCTCCTCGCAAACCTCGTCTGTGTTACAAAGTCATGAGTTTCTTTGTCGCATATTCTCAGTTTCACATATGCTTCATCCGAGACTCTAGAAAACGTACCTACTGGACTTCCCACAACTTTCCAGCACATAGCCTCATTTCAAGATTGTGGCGTCCGTAGCGGCACAGCTCATACAGCCCTGTACCTGATTGAGATGGACAAAGGTATCTATTGGTCAGCTTTGTCTCATTCCGGTAAAAAGAACTGCATGACTGCCTCGGGGGCTTCATAGAGTTTGGCTGTGCGAGGCTCTGCTGTTGATGGCAACCAATAGGCCTCCACCAAACGCGCTCAATGTCTCAGCCCATGTACGTTCGCGATTTCTTTGCAAAGAGCAGTAAAAGCAAGAACGCGGAATGCAGTTATCGATGCCGTATAATACTTCGCCGCATCCTGGCAAGAACTGAATTGCTTCTTATACACATATTTTGAACATCACTTAAATCTACTCTCCTTAGCTCGCGTCATGGCGGATGTCATTTCTATGATAGCAGGTATCGGATCGATACTGAAAGCCTTTGGATCCACTGGGGTATACCTCAGAAGTGTCTCGAACGTGTCGAAAGAGACGCAACTCATAGCTGATCAATTACATGCGACAGAAGCTGTTCTCAAAGCTCTCGAGACTAGTCTTAAGGTTTCACCACCCTCTTCCAAATCCTACACTGTTTGGGCCGACCCAATGAACCTAGTCCTTGGCAAAATCAAATCGATCATTGATGGCCTAAACACAAAGCTCTCTTCCCAGCGTGGTGTGGTCATATTGAGCTTCAGGAAGAAGGTAATGTGGCCATTTGAGAAGGATGATTCAGAGGTTTTGCTAGCGCATCTGAAAGCACACTTGCATGTGCTGCTAATAGCTCAGACGTCTCTGACCAGGTATGCGATATCGTTCGATAGATGTCCAAATACGACTGACAGTCTGGAGTAGTAATGCGATAACTATTCGGAATTCGGCACGAGAGATTGATGACATATTGACACAGGTGGGAAATCAATATCCCTCAAAAATAATCCAATCGAACGCGAAGACGATTACACCTTGGGATTCGGCCTCCCAAATAAGCGTTCAATCACGAAAGACAAAGAAAAGTCTGATTGAAAAGGC